GCAAATTTTATGAACACGTCTCGACAGTATGTTTGCAGTTTCCGGTGTTAACATTCTACACTCTCTAATGTTTTGTTTGCGCGAGAAGTTTGCCAGGCGGAACGTTGATATAAACTATTCGCGTTAGTAGAAGCTAAGCACGAACTTATGATATTCACCGGTGAACTCGACGTAGAATTCGGTAACTAATAAAGAATATTCAGTAAAACATGAACATACAAACTTCTTGCGAACTGCCTTTGCATAAAATGTAGACGTTGCTCGTATCGAGTAATCAGGAACTAGAACACGCACACAGTGTAGAAAAACTTGAAAATATCGTGACGCAGTGACCCTGGCATGGTCACGCGGTGGTCGTACGTTCTATCAAGATGGAGCGATAAATGATTCTGCAAAATGTAGTTCAATCTATGCCGGCTTCAAATTGGTATTCCAATTGTCGTTAAGTGTCGTATCTCGGAAACAGCACGTTTGTAATTACGTGCACTGCGGTTTCGAGTTCCTCCTGACGTACAGGTGCAAATTTGTTGATAGCGAGATGGATAAGACTGGTATTATAGGAGTCTCTAAACAGCAGTATTATGTTTATGATAAGTGGTAAAATTTGAAACCCTAGTAACGTGCTTAGTGCTTAAACTTCTAACAGGAAGCACATTATTCTTTTTATATCGTATTGTTTTAATCTTATCTCCAATTCCTTTGCATAAAGTATAAACGAATATAAAGATAAAAGCTATAAATTGCTTTGTATTGTATTTTTAATATGCTAACGTCACGTATTAAAGTACTTACCTACTTACAGATTTAAAACCCTTTGGATTCAAAGATAATACGAACACTTACCGTTATAACAAGTTGACCACAAATTATTCAAATCGAGTACATAACAAATTTAGAACAAAACTATAAAAAAGGGTTATCGATTAGAAAATCAATGAAGATTACAATTTTAACAAAATTCTAATTCTAACTATGAAAACTGCGAACATTCACGGAAGCTTTTCCCGATCATTTATGGTCCTAAACATATTTCACATATCATTCTGAACTTTGCAATTGTTATTCATAATGCAAATCGACCAATCAATTCCTCGAACTTCAATCATCATACACGAGAATTAGAACGTGGATAAGTGATAACTGAAAAAGTTCTACGTCATTAATGTCATTTCGTCGAGACATCGCGACAATCAAATTTCAATTTTAAGTCCATTACAATTAGTGAGCATTGGTCACATTGATGTGAACAATAAAAAAATAGTTGAATTCTATAAGAATTTACGCATTTTTGTCAACTTGAGCTTTTCGTGGTTAAAGGATACAACTGTGCACACAGTCGACCAGGAATTTAATAGAGTCATTTGAACTCTGCAAACAAATTATATATATAAATATCGCGTTTTATACATCCATCACACAAACATATAGGGTGAGTCAAGGAGAACTGTCATTTGAAATAACACCATTCTCATTCATTTTACTAGAAAACTGAGAAAATCTAACACGATAATGTAATCACTCAACAAGCTCCATCATGTATCTCCTCCGTTTTATGTAAATTCCTGTAAAGTGTCTTTGAATAAAGTACTTATATAACCAATTATTTCAAAGGGCTCTACTTATTGATTCACTTGATATAATAAACTATTGATTAGCAGTGCACGTGTCCTAGCCAATGAAGTATCGTTGAACGATGATGATATCAATAAAATTAGTCAATATCGATGTACCTCACGCGTAATTGAATAGGAAAACGTCGCGGTGTCCCATCGGATGTTCACCATAATCTTTATCATAAATTCTTTCCATATCATCGGTATTTCTCATATCATCTCATATCATCGATGTCGTCTGTCATCTTTTAAACATTTCATGTCATCTCAAAGGACAGGAGAAATGTTAATAACAAAATGAGCACTATCTCTTTCACTTCAAAATATCCTTTATCTATTCCGAGTAAATTTAAATGGTCGCTGATTGTAAAATAGGTATACAGATCGTTGCAACCGCTAAGGAAAAGTTAATCCTTCGACAGTGTAGTAAAAACAAATTAGTGGATATTATAAAAATCTATATCCTAAAAGCATTCTTAAAAACGCTTTGCAAGGTTTTACCTGCCTTGTAGAGAATTAATTGTGTATAACATAGTTTAAGATAGGCGATTAGGAGGAAGGAATTCGGACTGCACTGTCAACGGGTTAAGATTTTGTTAAGGCCTAATAGGTAACGGAAAATTTGTTAGCGATGTAATGAGCGATCGCGGAATTTTCGTTGCTATACGTAAACGCTTATCAGAAATTATGTATAGTACTCTCGAAGCGATTTACTATTTCATGTAGATTATACGCAGTATAATAACTACTCATTGTCAGTTGCAATTAACATCTAGCCTTCGGGCGCGTCACTGTCGAGAAATGATAATGCGAAAACGTATTAAACATTAGAAACATTCGTGCATATCTGGCTTATCAGAAACGAGACCTCGATCTCATCCTGTTTCTATTAAATCGTCGCTTCCACTTTGATCGATAAATACTTAATCATTTCTTGCCAAGATTGGAACGACTAAAAAACTGAAAATGACCTGTGTTTCACATAAAATTAATTAATGTACTCATTTATGGGTATTATAATTTTGTTTAAATGTCGTATATCGCTGACTGTTTGATTTAAAAAGACCTCCGTCTGCATTTTATCTTTTTACTTAATTTAAGAAGTAAAATAGTAAGTAGAAAAGGAATAATAAGGATACGCTGCTTTTTAAAGGAAGCGGTTAATACGTATTTTTTTCTGTTTTTTAAGCTAATACAATTTCCCATGTTCCTCCATGAAAGCACGACTTAATGTTGTGGCGCAGTTTCTCTGGAAATTTTAATTTCCTCATGGCCTATAATATAACAACATCCACCTAATGCGCTTAAGGTATTACTTTTAAGCTTTATTTTGAACGCCGCACGATTAACTATGATGTGACATAGAAAACCGTCAAATCCATTTCTCCTACATCCTTGCCTCATAAAGTAGTAGGGGAAAAAAGCACAACTAACCATTTCAAAATGATACGCGAATCAATTGTTTGGTATAAGATACAGTATTTTAATAATGAAATTTATGAATGTCTACTTCCATTCGCCTTAATATTTAAGTTCAAACTATTGCTTCCACTTTAATAAGTGTGAGATAAAATTTTTCACTGAAAATTCGCTGCCTGCTGGTTTTGCGTAATTTTACAAAAAAAAAACGCAAAACTAGGAAGATGTACGATGTTATCACTCAGAGCAATTCTCGACAGGACGCCTCCGAAGGCGCCCACTTCATGGCTAAACGTGTACGAATCACAAGCTGAAACAGGCGAGCAAGTAAACGAACGATAGCTTAAAACAAAAAAAATGCAAAAAAAGAGTAAATGCGAAGTAAACTAAAAGTGTTGTCATGCTCCAGTGTCGTCTAACGATAAGTAAGCTTCTCGTGTGAAAAAGAAAGCTCTCTTTTCCGCAAAGACTGTTCACGCGGAAACAATTAGGGCAAGCGTGGAAACGATTACGACAGGCTAGATAAGCGAATAGCTGAGGAACTGGGGCGTCGAAATTAGACAAATTAAGGTGAAAAGAGAGCGAAAAGAATAGAACTGAGAGAGGAAGAAGATAATGAAGAAGATACCTGCGGCTCTAACTCTAAATAATATACTTAAATACTTGTTACGCTATCCATAAGTTTACATCATAATCTCTATCATGAACAGAATTTGCGAGGTATATATTGTACGTGATATTATATTTATACGGGCTGTTACATAACTGTCTCCAATCTTTAATTCCTTCGTGCGAACAACGATGCGAACGAGACAGACAAGTAAGATGAAAGGCGCAGGTGAGTGAAAAAGCGACGAAAATCAGAGGATGAATTCGGCGATCGAGAGGAAGGAAATGGTACGAAGTTTAGAAAAAGTAAAGGCGATAACTCCTTCTTAGCGCTGTGAGGTACAATTCAGAGACGAGGAAAGACGAGGAGAAAATCTGATAAGATCCTTTCAACGGGGACAACGTATAGGAATGAAGAAGACACGAGCGAGTTTGGTTTAAAAGTTTTGCTCTTTATTCACGAATATGTTCCTCAAGTGTAAACTGTGAACGATACGGTCTCCATTGCTTACAAAGGATTACAAGCCTTATCAGAATCCGATAAATTAGCAAACTTGCTTCAGTGACGTTCTTCCAAGGACGGAATCTTCAAACCTCTCTCTCTAACTTTTGATTAATGAGGGAGGAGTTAGCATCCCAGGGAAAAAAGGATTTGCTAATTGAAACGACGAAGGAGATTAGCCAAAGAAGTTTGCTGCTTCGTCTCACATTTACACGACGTCCACCAGGATCCGAGAATAATGCAAGGGAAGCGGACACGATGACAGTTTCTGGAAAAATGGTTTGCCACGATTTTTGTGAGCCAACAGCTGCGAAAAGGACAGCAAGAGAAAGGTAATGGAAGAAAAAGAGGATAAAGAAGGCACCTGAAAACAACGAAGATTTTTTTCCCCTCCCAAGCCATCCCCGAAGATAACTTCAGAGGCCAAAAGGGTTGCTGCGAGCTCTTCCTCTCGAGACCCCAATCTGCGATTCTCTGTTCTATCGAAGCTTGTCTTACCTTTAAGTCGACGAAAAGAGACTGATTTGTGTAGGGGGCAAAGCATTGTGCGTATGTACGTGGTCACGCGAACCGGATGCAACGAATCGTTAACTCCCTCGTGAACAAACAAGCGAACAAGTAATTAATTGAAATGAAATAATATCGACGGACGTGATCGATTTTGCTAATTATGAAGCTGTCGATTTCGAATACGCTTTCGTTTCCTTTCGGTTCGATGACCACGAGTTTCCAAAGACTGTGTACAATATTTTTTTGTACGCCTGCGCCGTCGTTCGCGCGAACGCGCGTTCTCCCCTTAGTTTTTTCGAACTGTTACTAGGCTTGTTTCTTAATAAACTTGTTTTTTTATTTGTTAGAACGGCAGTGGCTCTGGTGGCGAATCGGGCGGACGTGGCAACGGGTGAGTATCGAATTTTTCATCTACTGCATACATTGTCAAAAAACGTTTCAGAACAAAATTTTACGGGATGGACAGAATTTATTTGCGACGATGAGTACAAATTTAGTTCAACGAATATTTAATATTTTATTTCGTTTATTTTAAGATACATGTGCAGCGTTCTAAATGTAATAAAAGAAAATTTGATTTGGCGAAGCAATTCGTTGACAAACTCGAGTCTGTGCAGAAGTGAAGCAATTTCAGTTTTCATGAAGTAGAGAAGTTCTATATTTTGAACATTTCGAGACTAGATTTCTAGAGAAATATTCACGAAAATCACGTTTGAGTTCATTTTTTTTTTCAATTTCTGTATTTAAACTAACATACGTAACGTGTATTATCCGACCTCGATAAGATCCGTTCAATTTACTCAGTTAATTAACAGATAGAAACGATTTCAGCGTCGCGTTTGCGAAGAATGGATACCTCAGTCTCTTCCCTTCCCTCCTAGCAAAGTTCATGAGTGTAGCTTTGATCTCGACAGCAATTGACATAAAAACCAAGATCTTCTACAAGTTACAGGTTCATTGAAAAGGGTAAACGTTAAAAGAAAGTGCCTCTTAATTCTTGCCAGTCCGATCTGATCTGCTCTTGCTTCCGGAGTAATCGATAATTTCATCCTTTCAAACTATGCGTTCTAGAATTTGTTCGCTTAATCTACCGAGTTCAATTTTCCATTTATTGTTTCATAATGAATGCAGTGCTCTTTATACTAAATAATATTATGGCCCTACTTAATGCCAATTTTGTTTGTTTATCGGTAAAACAAAGCAAAAAAGCGTCAAAAAATTGTTAGAAAAGTCATATGACAACCTAGCCACTTACTTATTTAAGTATAATAATAATTACGAAAATTATATACATATTTAAGAAATTATTGAAAGAAGGTAGTGCAAAGTTCATGGTCGTTATTACTTTATAGGGGGTTCATCAGGCTGAAAGCTATGACCTAGTTGTATAATTCCTTTCTGATATAAGTCGATTTCTTCTTTATCCAGTTGTATTTAGTCGATTGTGTTACGTGTACGTGGAATTACTAATTAAATGTTGATATAGTATAATTCCGATCGATCTCTCAAATGTACGTGCAAAGAAAACTTTTTCGTCGTAGCGTTAATTAAACACGTTCAATATATCAATTTTTAAACGTATCGTATCGATTGTTAACTCGAACAGGAGATCAGAAAGGTATTGTATGATAATAACGAGGCATCAGTATTGACTAATAACTAAATGACTGTCGCTAATGAGAATTAGACTTATATTGAAACGGGTAAGTATCTAGACAAGACCTGTAATGACGAAGTTTCCGATCTCAGTCAGAAAGTTTGATTGCCTTAAATCTAATATCGATTCGATCGCGAGACTAATTCGAAAAAGATTTATTCATTGCTGTCATATATATACACCGGTTTACTTCTCAACACGCGATTGCTACCAAGATCGAACGGTGTTCATAAATTTTAGAACGAACAGATCATTAAAGGTTCCCAGTTGATCGCCTTGATTACATGATCCTTCGAGTTACATAACGGTGGATCTTCCTGCCGTTTTTTGAATATTTAAAGATCGCAGTTTAATATTCTAAAAAAGAGATTCTCTTTGAGATTCGCTACTGTTATTTATTCATAAGCCTGCGAATTCAAATATGAATTCATTCGGTGTTTGAATTTATTGCTCAAGTACTATAAATTCAAATATGGTTTCATGGTATGACTACATTATATAAATTGAAACATAGCTTCACTGTACGAAATTCTGCATTAATTGAGGGATACATTCAGCTATGAATTAATCGGTTCAATCAAACTAGACACCCAAACGTAAATTCATAAATTTAGTTACAACATAGACAGTTTAATATTGACAATTAACCATTGCTATAAAATACAATTAATTTTTTAATAAACGATGAACAATAAGGACATTGACGTGATTTTTTAATTGCGTTTAATGTTTTAAAATCGACTGTTTCTTTCAGGCATCCGGGAGACAATCCATTCTACAGCACCATCGACAGTATGCCAGACATTCGGCCGCGCCGAAAGTCGGTGCCATTGGTCTCAGAGCTGGTACGTAATCAATAGTCCATTAACCCTAATTCAGATATGTCCGCGTTTGTGCATACATCGATGTGCACGAGGACACGGGCCACGAACATTTGCGTAGTTTGTTTTTATATTCATAAAGTAACAACTGATGGTATTTTCTTATTAGCTCAGCATCGACGTCGTTGTCGTCGTCGTCTCGTCCGATCTTATCCCCCTTAACGACGTCATTAATATTGATCGTGGTCATCAAATACAGTTTCCATATGACTATTGCTATAATAATTATAATGTTCTCAAATAATTTTTGGAAAATGAAATTAATAAATGAAAGAATTATTATTATTATTTAAAAACTTGGAATTACATCTTCAGCGAGAAAGAATCATTAATTTCTTAATATAAAACTGTTATAAAACATACAAATCCGATTGTTTAACATGCATATATTGATTAAGTAAGCAGAAATAAATATTAATTGCGATTCTTTGATTTTAAGTAATAATATACCTGTACTGTGAGACTCAAGGAAAATCGCAGTAATATACATATAGGCAGTGGAAGCATTTACAGGCTCCGAACATCACTCGAAGCTCCTATTCAGTATTAATGCTTTTTCTATGATTCACCTCGTTTATACTATTTAATTAACCAGACATTATTCTTTCGTTCCCTTTCAACCCGAGTATTATTCTCGCAATTTTCGCCATGGCTTTTATGGAAGACCATCTTATGTTTTCACTTATTACCTCTATTTCGTTTTATTCTGTCGATATTATCTTCCCTCTAATTAAATCTCCAAGGCTGATTCGAGTTCGAAGAATTAAAACCAAGCAACTAAAACTTTACTTGTGTTTTAAATTAATTCAGTTAACACAATTGAAGGTTAAATTTTTAGATATTTTATGAAATCGAGAACCACGATCAATGTTTACAGACGGTTTCTTATGTACCCAATAAGAATTCAATGTTTCCAAAAATTTCATTATTTCCTTAGAAGAAAGATCGTCGCCTAAACCTCGATCTTGTCCCAATGATAAAGTTCCAATTCCTAATCGATAAATTGCACTAAATCACTTCAATCGGTTTGAACTTTACGTATTCGCATCCAGAGCGATGGATATCGTTTAAACTTCTCCCCGTTTTTCACGAGACGACGTCGAGCACGCGACGATTGTTCGATATCGAGAGATCGATATCTGCTGAGCAGTTCGTGTCGCCTTCGAGAGATATTTTTTTTCTGTGCTTAAAACGATAGCACTAAAAGCATCAGGGAAGCTCGCTCTTGCTCTCGAGGGTGACTTGGTTATCGATTAACCATCGTGCTACCTGATTGCGTGTACAACGTTTTTTTCCTTATTTTTTTTATGCCACGCCGTGTTTTCGGTAACCCGAGACATTCTACCAGAGGGGCGTCGCAGACGATTTCACGATAAATCGGTCGCCAAAGGGTTAGACGTCGCGATTAGGGCTTGAAGCGAACTTTTAAGGGATCGAGTTAGTTGTCCCTAACCGTTTCTTGCTAGAGGGCAAGTTAGAACGTTTCCACGATGGAGATTTTATAGATCCTGATAGCCGGTTAAAGAAGGGTGATTCGCGATAAGGGATGATTTATTGAAAGTTGTCTGCAGACCGCCCCGTACTGTTATTTCTACTCCGTTACTAGCGCTTTACAGAGTATACTCGTTCGAGATTGTTCAGTTTTTTATCCGGTCATCGGATATTATCTTTTCGTACGGTAATAACCGAATATACAGGGTATCCCAAAAAGCACGATTTTCCTGTAAGGGTGTGAAAGCATGTGAAATTCTGAATCAGAGCTTCCTCCCACCACTATTAATTCCTTGAACGGAAATGACGAGTCCAGCTCGTCATAAACATTCCTCTTTTTCAAGTGCTGATTGAAAATAAATTGTCGTTCAAGGGGTTAATAAAGTTATTAACAGTTGGAGGAAACAGGAACTTTTTACTCAGAATTTCATCCTCCTTCACACCCTCGGAGGAAAGTTATGCATTCTGAGATACCCTGTATGTTCACGCAATTCACTGGGAAGTGGCGTCGCAGTAATACATTGCAGGAATTGTATTCCCTTAACCTGTTGCTTGAGAACATCATATCAAGAACACGCACAATGTCTATGAATAATTCTTAATTTAAAGTGACACAAAAATAAATGTCAAGCAGAGTATCCAAACGACTCATTTCACGAAAATTGGTCACTACATACGACATTTTTCGTTATTCTGAGCGTCTATATCACTCAGAGTCGATAAGTCTGTGGTGGTCCACGCGCTTTCAAAGAGCGATAAAACTGTCGTCCGAGCAAAGGAAGCATTTCCCAGATTGCGATCAGCCATTGTGATCCGTGGCGATCGTTAAAACAAGAAACGCGTCCGTAAAACGAGCGTTTGACACGAAATCGCGAGTAAGCATTTCTTGCTTTCGTTTTCCGTCCCCATGCCTTCGTACGGTCATATAGTCTTCGCTCTTTACGACCTGCGTCGCCATTTCGCGGTCGAATCGAAGTGAAAACGCTTCCCAAAGCGATACCAAAGCATACTTACTATCCCTCAAAGAAACAACGTGTATACGACTCGCAAGATTCGTTCATTTACCATAACCGTTCTCCTTGCCTTAATTCAATGTTCAGAACGGGTCGAGCGGAAATACGAAGAAATACGTGCTTCATATGTCCTGGGTAAAATTTATTTGACGCTAAAGGAATTTTTTTAAACAGAAATTAGCAATTTTTCAAGAGATTATTTCGATCTTACAATTAATTGATTATATCGTATTTTACCAGTTGAAAATTAAAGCGGCTACATTAAGAATGATTTGAACAAATTTTTCAAGTATAATATAATCTACATTAAGTAAATAATTCAGGAGATTAAATAAAAAGGACGTTTCCTGAGGCTAGGCATTACGCCATAGTGGAAGAAGTAATTAATTTCGTGGAAAACTGACCGTTGAAAATTCGAAGAATGTTCATTCGACTCACTGGCTGGTCGATTACCTGCGTGTTCGAGATAACGTCGTACTTTAAAAAACGAAGTCACTTACGCTACGCGCCCCTTTGCTCACGCGACGTCTTCAGCAAGCCTGTTAAAAGCGCGACCAATGGTGTTGAAAATTAAAAACAAAATGAGACAAGAAAGAAACATGCGTTATTATATATAGATAATGTTATTTCTTGTGTGCAGCTGCTTAAAAGAATTAGAAATTGTACAAACACGTCGGGGAGATATTAAAATCTTAATTGCCCTTTCGGCATGTGAATAATTATTTTATGGGATGATAACATTATTTTTCTTCCTTGAGTTGAACGGAATCTTTAAACCGTTTTTTTGCCTGAATGAAACCTTCACCTTTGGTATTTATTGTGGGCCGCAGTACGGCGCACGCAGCACGAAACGTCACAACTTATAATAGACCAGAACCCGAACGTTTAGATTTTAAACCGAACTATGAACTCCCTGCAATCAAATTTTCTCGCAGCGTCAGAGAAAAATCACCGTGGCTTAATGACTATCGATTTTCGCTCGATCCGTTGCGTATATGTTCTATGTGAAATTCATTGGAAAACAGATACGAACGGAAAACTTTCCGTGACATTATTACGGACACTTCTGCTGTAAATCTTAGGACAACTGTAAACTGTATAATATAGGGATTTTGTAAGAACATGTATTAATTGAATTTGCGACATTTCAATGATTAGTGAATTGTATCAAAGAAAATCTTGAGTACTCTTCATCGATAATGTAGTTACAAATGGAACTCTAAACACATCTCTATTGTTTTCTTAATTTCTTACAACAGATGTTTTACCATTCCAAAGTAAGAATTGTGAAAATAATTCAGATATTTCAATGAATGGGTTTCGCGCCGAAGCATATTTTCAAATGTTTTTATTCCAAATTGATGTTTTAAAAAGTAAATGTTATTTTTTATTGAAATAACTCAGTAAGAATTTATTATGTGCATTTTCTCATTTGAAATCTCTTATGATTATTGACTTTACATTTTTAGCTAATCCTCCTGTAGGTAACGAATAATGCATTCCAAACTTTGAAGTGTCCTAAGACTTATGAATGAAGGTGTACATTCACTTCCCTTTCAGCAAAGTTGGGACTCGAGAAGAACGAAATAATTTTCCTCGCAGTCACGCGACTTCTCGAATTGCTTTCTCTCTCTCTCTCGGCTTCCAACCCCTCGAATTTAGAAGTCTCGACCTGTCTATCTGTGAACCTTCCCATCTCAACCTCTACCACACTCCATTCTCCTGTATGTGTTTGATGTTAATAATTTTTCTTTTAGTTGTTGTGTAACATGACCTTGTCCCTTGTAATCCAGCGTCTGAAAAAGTGTATTGTTCGTCGAGTCGAAACCAGGAAACAAGAGACCGATCGATAGCGATTGTATCACGTAATTCATACCGATACATTAATTAATACCGTATCGAATGTACATATAAAACACTGGTAATGAAATCAATACGAATTTGGTGTTATCAATATCAACCTGCAAATCATAATATTATTCTGTATTATACTCAATAATAGTAAAAATATAGGTTTCAAATATTAATAACCGTTTATAATTAAAATTAATTAGATCTATAAAAACCATGTTTTAAATTTTTATTAGAAAATCAAGTATAGCATATTATTTTATTTTACATTATGTAATCTCTCTAACATCTAAACATAAATTAATTCGTTAAAACCAATATTAAAAAAGGCATTCAATTTTGAAATGTGTACGAATATTTATGGACTTTACTGTATGTGATACTAGGAATGCAAAGCAGTGAGCAGATATGATCCACTCTCTTATTGATAATTTTGAAAAATATTAAAGTACAATTTTCTTAATTGGTATCAAATCGATATTGATTTGATATAATGCAATTGATTGATTTTATACGTACAAGTATTACTTCGTACATTATTGATTCGAGAATGTATGAAGTAATAGATGATGATGAATATAATATCAGTATTAATCGCTACCGGTCGATCGATAGGAAACTATCGTGAAATTGCTGGATCTCAGGGCGGAACATTCAGTTCTAGTCGCTAACGCGATTCGAGGAAACATTCGGTGGTGAATTATGAGATTCATTGGGGCGGAAAATGCAAACTCGCCGCGCTGCGATTCTGTAATTTTAGGTTTTCGCATTCACCGAGAAGAGATAATGTTCTGGAACACGGAAAGGGATTAAATTTCTTATGACATTATACCCGACACTAATGAACATCGATTAAAGATCAATTTTGATGAAGAAGAGAAGGGTAAGAGGAACGTTTTAATTGCTGACAGTTCAGAAGATTATCGCCTGTCTCGGTGAAAACATATCGATGCACTGATTTACGTTCGCGTGCCTCTCTTGTCTCTTTAAATGTGTCCCTTTATCCATAACAAAGTACTATAAAAACAAGAAAAGACAAAAGAAAGATAGAAAGAAATGCAACTGATACGTACTAACCGGCATATAATGCCATTTTTCTTTGTTTGTTCTCTGTGGCGCCCGTTGTTGTATCCACCTGAACACCTGAAAAATGCAAAACCACTCACTGAAAAACCTCTCAAAATATCTCAAAAATTCTACCTCCAGGTCTTGAAGGTACTGATTAAATGCCTCCTTAACGAAGTTTAAATAAGAAAATGCTTGTTTCGTCGTACATAGCGCATGCTTCAGCTTCGATGCGTGTTACCATAATTCAGTTTTTTATCTTATGTCAGCATCCTTTTTCATATAACTACATCGTTCTGTTTTTGTTTGCATTTGCTAACTGGATATTCTCTTTTTCTTATTCCTCGGCTCTAATCTCGTTTATTTCCCGAGATTTTACCAATATATTGTTCGCTTTTACGCAACGTTACGCGCAACGCCTCTCGGAGATATCTAATTAGCTTAATTACGATACTGCAGCCGAAGGATTTTCTAATTGAAGGATTAAAGTAACATTATAACGTATCGCGTTTCGCGACGTAATTACACGAAAATCGACGTTCGATTTACCATCCAGTCTCTTCAGGCTGGTGTAATGATTTTTAACAAAGAAAATTTCCGGTTGGTTAAAAGAGGTATTGCTATCAATCGTGTTTAATCATTCATCAATTTTTGCACGAATCTATACTGCTACTTATTGCACCATATAACGAAAGACTAAATCAGAACAGATTAAACGTAATTAAATTGCGGAAATATTCAGTTTCATTACGAACAATCAATTTCTTCGAAAATCTGTATAAAATCCACTAGAATTATACATTGGCATTTACAGAAGTGGGAATTAGTATAAAAATCTACTAGCGTGCATGTAAGAGATACCAAAAATTAATTAATATAGAAGAATTTAGCCTTTCGGTAAGTTATTCCAATTTTGTTTTACAGTTTAATCTTTACTGTACCCGCACGCATTGAGTATATTCGTCATTATGAACGCATGGATGAGTAGTTAGTACCGAATATCGTAGTTAGTAGGTGCAAAATGCGACACGTTTTATTATATCATAGTTAGACCAATAGACTGTAGGTCAAAAACTCGTATCACGAATACATTGACTAACTTATGATCCTGCTCTTCCTTTCTCTCTGATTTTATTTATTTCCGTACGATGTATTTTGATCTAAAAATGTGAGAAAAGGACAGCAAATGTATCTAATCGGCGTCCTTAAAGGAAGAGAAAGTATCGAGATTGGACATAAATGTCCAAGCAAAATATAAACAATCTGTGATTTCTTTAGTGTATTAAACGCAGCAAGAAGAGGCTGATATGTTGATTGAGAAGTTCAGAAAAAAATGCGGTACACATGACTGCCTTATTCAAATGTTGTTATGCCACTATAAAATAATTGTATAATTATTTCTGTAATCAAATAAGTCTAGTGTCATTCTTAATATGTAGCTCGTTTAAAAATACAATCGTACTAACTTTTTTAATTGAACTTCTTAAATGGCTAGCTGCAAATTATAGTGATGTCAGTCAATCTTTCCCTATACAATGTTTTTAATTGTTACTAAGAAATTATAATTTTGCTATCACAGAAAACGAATTCCAATTATAAAAATTCGAAAGCTTGATTTACTCCACTATGATTGTTAATCTTTCAGATAGGATTATACAATAGCATAATCTTCATTAAAATTTTACCACTAACAAGATACAATGGAATATTGTATCTGTATAATACATGGGGAAAGGTGAAAAGATAGAGGAACCCACGGTGCCCCGTGCGTGACAGGCTTGTACATACACACCACGAACACGCTTTCTGAGGCTGTGAAGCAGTGTAGTGCGTCTAGTTTCTATTAGCCATTAGTCGATGACAGAGAAAACAGAATTGATTGTGAGCCAAGTCTTTGATTTACTCACTCTAACTATGGGATTGCCTATTTCCTCTTACTTTTGTACAAAATTAGTACTAAGACGAGTAATAACGAGTGAGTCGATTTTGTCTACTCAGATATTATTCGTCTCTTTATTTAAAGTTGAAACATTTAGGTATCTATATTATACATAGAAATGGGCAACATTTTTTCCTTTTTGTCTCTCTGTTTGATTCAATTACTTTAGACTGAACACTGCAATCTATGCGCGAAATTAGTTGCTCGAAATTAGCGTTTATCCACGGTGATACGACAGTAGCGCATGCATCGAGCACGGAGCCCCGTGCAGAATATCTTAATCGAAATCGAAATCTATATACATATATCCAACCACAAATCTTACCTGAACGTCACCTATCCAAAACGTTCTGTAAGTTAATTGGATTAGATTCCATCAGAAATTCATTCACCTCTATCTCGCCTTACCTTTCAACTATTATTATACTATTCATTTCATTTAAATCTACCCCTATTACTCTTCTTACGTTCATCACTCTCTTTGTCTTCAACTTTGAATCATCATCATCTTTGAATCCTTCTTTCTATCTCGTTACGTTTTATCCCTCCTCCATTAATTTTCTAATAATTATGGATATTTATATATTTCATATTTTTCTATTTCGTTTAAATCTTTTCTCACTTTTTTCTATGTACTTATTTTACAGATAATAATATATGCTTTCACAAAAAATAAAGAGTACGACATTTCTTGACCTCGAGATCACATACACATTTATCTGCTATTTCATTTTTTTTTAATTCGATTCCTTCCACACTTCACTCAATGCATCAGCATGTATATTGACACATCTCACGATCAAACAGCTTTGCCACAAATATTAACGATTGAGGAGCTTCTTCTTTGAACAACAGATTGCTCAAAGCACGGCTTTTCAAATAAGCCAATGTAAATAAAACACATTTTCTTGTGACTGTAAATAAGATTTGTAAATAAACGTCGTAAATATTTGCAATGTGCATTTGGTATGGAATCGACGCACGTAAATTTTTCTTAATATGCATAAAATTGTAATTAACACAACTACGTTTTACCGTTAAGAAATTTATGGTATGGAACAGATAAAATATCCATACCAAATGTAATTTTCGATATCACGTTATTTTCTGTGATTTATTTTTATTGATTCACCACTATTTCTTGAATAATCTCACACAGTTAATTGTTTGCAAACGAAATAAAATTTTTTGTAAAATTGTTGTTCAATTTTTATACACACATACATTTCAATTACGTATACATTTCATACAATGATATTCACTTCACTATCGTTCTTTGTTACAGTGTCTTTTCCTTTTATTATTCTCTTCGATTTCTCTTCACGTTCTGTTTATCATCGTTGTCACCCTTTTCCTTTTCTTCTTCTTCTTCTTCTTCTTCTTCTTCTTCTTCTTCTCACTATTCATTCGGTTTCAGTTTCTCACTCTTCCTGGCTCGTTAACTCTGTCTACACGATAGAGACCATAGAGAGACTGGAAGAGGCGTTGTACTTGAATCAGATGTGCATTAATTTCTATCTTTTCTCAGACAATGGCGGCAACGAAGAGGAATGCACCGGGTCTAACAACGGCAGTGCCCAGGGCAACCCTGAACGACGAGGAACTGGTAAGAATTCGTCCATTTTACTACCCCTTTTTCAGGCACCATCTCACTTTACTATCAAAAGTATTCGTTAATTGATCATTTAATGGCCAAATATTTCGTCAAATTAATTTCCTCCTGAAAAACGATTATTAACAAGACATTTATTTGTCAATTTAAGAATAATCTCATGTTGTATTTCAAATAGTGTCTTGATGTATCTTAAATCAGTTTCCTTTATTCGTTTTCATTGTTCATATTTCTAATTGCTAAATTTAATGAAAAGGCTTGCTACTTTTTATTATTTTTCACTGCGATATGCGACAACAAAGAATCGCAATTAACGCAGTATCTAAAATATCTCGCGTCCATCGACATTAACATGATGTTAGGTGGAACGAAAATTGTGGGTTGATGAAAAGAAAGGTTCCCTTATATCGGTAATTTTAATGTTCATGGACAAGGATATACAATCAGCTCTTATTTAAGTTAAGCTCTCATCGCGTGTCAACTGTCATTGAATTAAATTTTCGAAACAATCACGAGTACGGTTAGTGAACTTGTGAAACTCGAATATGTACTGCATTTGAATTATAATATAAACTCGAGCTTCGCGTTGGCCATTTTAAAACGAAATTAACGTTGAATCTATGTCATACTATTGTGACTGCAACTCGAAATGTCTTTCACCAATTGTGAATTGCACAGTGGAGATAATAAATGTTTTGAGCTCGTGTTCAAGCAGAATTTTCTTATGCGCAATAATGTCGGACAATAATAATAATACAATAGTAATAATAAGGGACAATCTACATGAATTCTTCATTGAGCTGTTGAAAAATAAAAACTGCTTAATGAAAATTATATTGGAATTAATAATAAATTATATTATCGACAACTGTATGCAACAGTCATGTACTTAAAATCCAATCAGGATTTTCATGAATTTTAACTAGAATTTTCATTTCATTTTTATAACTCATAGACCGTAGTGAGTAGTAAGAAATAAAACGGAACATCATATTTTTCGTTTGAATCTCGGTAAGAAGGAACAAGAAACATTTAAGAAGAACAGGAATAAGGAATTCTTTGGCAGGATTTGTAAAATAATTTGTATTAGGAATCTTAATTGAATTCCACAACGACCATGCTAATAATGACTTAATTAGCTGTAAGATTGTGCAACACTGATAAGTTTAAGAGGTAACCAAAAGATAAAGAAAAAAGGAAAACACATGCATCCACGACGGCTCGTCCGCTACAGGCTGAACTTATAACCTCTGATAAACTTTTTTTCTTTTCACATGAACTGTGCTGCATTTTATCCTCATTTCCGCGCTATTTTCTTTCACGTAAGTGTGGCCTCAACCTTTCTGTCTCTCTCTCTCTCTCTCTCTCTTTCTCTCTCTCTTTATTTTCTGTTTTATTATTTTCCGTTTCTATCTGTCTTTTCTGCTTCCTTTGCTTCTCTTCTCTACTTCTCTCTCTATCTTTTCTTTATACCATTACTTTTTATTTGAGACGTGTACTGCGATATTAAAAATGAAAAAAGCGATGTTCGTAGCGAGCCTAGACGAGTCATTCTCTTTCTCTCTCTATCTATCTATCTATCTATCTATCTATCTATTTCTCTTCTCTGTCTCTATCTCTAACTCTACTTTAGCGGCTAGGGTGAACGTTCTCCAAATGCGTATATAAATATATATATATATATATATATAAAACTGCATACAATAAATATTTGTACACACGTGTCGCGAACATTGACCGAACGTGACCAAAGCAAAATTTTACTGGTCGAAAACGTGCGGTACAGGATCGCGATGTGTGTATATGAATGTGGGTCACGTGTAGGTAATCGAGGATATGAGATGCTACAATGGTCATGTGAACCGAGTACAATTAGGATAGAGCTAGGATAACTCCGATTCCTTGATTCGTGGGTGTCGGATGTTCCCTGCATGACAAAATCAGTTCTGCTTCGTTACACCACTTGGCTACAGTCAAGGACGTGACTCGTTACAAGATCAAAATTCTTGATAACAATTTTATCACAAAGGTACAAGTTTGAAAAGAAAAGTTGAAGATATTTTATCTCGTTGATGAAAATAAGAAATTGAAAATGAGGCCCCTCGTGTAAAATTTAATTAAATAGATATTGTATGTATGTATAGATGTTACACATTTTGAAAAGTTATCCGCAATACTGTAGGTTAATTTTCAAATACCTTGAATTTCTGTAAAATTTTCGTGAAAGATTATATAAAAGTAAACATTTGAATAAATACACTGTATTTAAGGTCTGGAATTGCAGGGATACATGCATACGTATGCATGTATATGTATCGGCAACATTACTTTCTATGTAATGGTCCCATTTTTCATAAAATATCGTTCACAGAAGGAAAGACTCGCTCGGAACCATCTCACCGATTCGAGGGAAAAAATTTAAAAGAGAAAAATGGGGAACATCCCGAATTCACGACATCACCCTTATAGTGCTTCTTAGCGGATCGATGCTTTTACACACCCCGCAGAACGTTCCAAATAGTAGGACATCTAGAGAACGTGCTCATCCTCTCTCTTTTTCTGTCATTCTTTCTCTCAAAGCCGATGATAAAAAAAGAAGCGAACAAATCGAAGCATAGATATTCGTCGTATCGATAGGGAAAGTACCAACTGTTTTTCCCGGTACGTATATAAATATATATATATATATATATATAAAACTGCATACAATAAATATTTGTACACACGTGTCGCGAACATTGACCGAACGTGACCAAAGCAAAATTTTACTGGTCGAAAACGTGCGGTACAGGATCGCGATGTGTGTATATGAATGTGGGTCACGTGTAGGTAATCGAGGATATGAGATGCTACAATGGTCATGTGAACCGAGTACAATTAGGATAGAGCTAGGATAACTCCGATTCCTTGATTCGTGGGTGTCGGATGTTCCCTGCATGACAAAATCAGTTCTGCTTCGTTACACCACTTGGCTACAGTCAAGGACGTAACTCGTTACAAGATTAAAATTCTTGATAACAATTTTATCACAAAGGTACAAGTTTGAAAAGAAAAGTTGAAGATATTTTATCTCGTTGATGAAAATAAGAAATTGAAAATGAGGCCCCTCGTGTAAAATTTAATTAAATAGATATTGTATGTATGTATAGATGTTACACATTTTGAAAAGTTATCCGCAATACTGTAGGTTAATTTTCAAATACCTTGAATTTCTGTAAAATTTTCGTGAAAGATTATATAAAAGTAAACATTTGAATAAATACACTGTATTTAAGGTCTGGAATTGCAGGGATACATGCATACGTATGCATGTATATGTATCGGCAACATTACTTTCTATGTAATGGTCCCATTTTTCATAAAATATCGTTCACAGAAGGAAAGACTCGCTCGGAACCATCTCACCGATTCGAGGGAAAAAATTTAAAAGAGAAAAATGGGGAACATCCCGAATTCACGACATCACCCTTATAGTGCTTCTTAGCGGATCGATGCTTTTACACACCCCGCAGAACGTTCCAAATAGTAGGACATCTAGAGAACGTGCTCATCCTCTCTCTTTTTCTGTCATTCTTTCTCTCAAAGCCGATGATAAAAAAAGAAGCGAACAAATCGAAGCATAGATATTCGTCGTATCGATAGGGAAAGTACCAACTGTTTTTCCCGGGAAAACTGTTCCGGCAAATGTTCTGCTCATATGTTATAGGGCTATTACATTTTTTCGAGGCGAGAGAAAGATAATATAAGAATCGAACGGGGACGAGGATCAACGGTACCCTCGCGCCCGTTTCACTTCAATGGAGATGCGGAAAGAAATATACATAGAAACCCCGTAACCTGAGAACGGTCCTCGTAGAGCTCCTCTTTCGAGTTTGAATTTGAATGAGTAACGCACTGTCTGTGTAGTTGGAAAAAGCTGAAGACAATGCCTTCCTGGCAAGACGGTCATGATTTAAGTGCCCTTAATACAATTTAGTATTGAAACATTAAAATAACGTGACAGATTTAAGTTGAATTATACTTTTTCCAACGATCACAAGTATAGCAACAGTTACAATGAGTGAAGTCACCCTTGAAGTTGGCTTGCCTCACGCAACGTTAGGCCCCTGCCCTGGTTTAGAAAGGAGATTCCAAACGACGACTGGGTACACCTAAACGGTGGACCCTCGTGAATCGCGCACATATGACTGAAGTTCCAACCCTCACCCAGAAGTTCTCTCCCTGTTCGATCAGTGTACACGAGATTGCGTATGCCAGTATGCAATTAGGTCTCGCCAGGCACTAATTCCCCTCGGCACAGTTATGATTGTGCGCGTAATTATGTACGAACGCTAGCAAGTCGTTTGTATGAATGACAACGTGACACAAGTTAACGTTCCATATGCCTACACATAGAGAGTGAATTGATCTTGCATGAGACTGATGCAAAAGTTTCATGAAATAAGTGTCACGATAGGAATCGTTAGGAACAATAGGGTGAGGTAGTAGAACAAATACGATAAACGATTGAAAGATCGATTAAAGACTTTCGCAGTGAGTCACTATGATTTTTATCATTTGAAAAACATTCATTTGATTCTGTGATACAGGGTATTTTATCATATACTCTCTTTCCGAGTATGATGATTATGAAGAACAATTCAAGCAAACTATTAGAATACTTTCATAAATAAAGATTTACGCATGAGAAACGATACAGTAATATTGCTCAGAGTTTCAGCTCCCTTTCAAATATTTCTAAATCTTTATTTTGATTTGAAGATAGAGATGAAACGTGATATTCAAAGACTAAAAGAATTTTTCGATCGTTTTATATCGTGTCTATGTTCTTTGGTAATTTGTCACGCGCGTATGCTAACACCTTGACTCTATGCTCGAACGAATCGGTAATGGATAATGGATCTTTAATATTTTTAATTTTAACTACGTTAGTAAAAAAAATCAACTAATCTAGTTTCATAAAATTTTATATTTTTAACTCATGTAATTAAATAACAATGTTTAAAATTGAAAATAGAGTGCTCTTCTGTTCAAATGTACAATACACATTGCATTACTCGATCAAATTTTCTGCAAGTTTCTTCGCAGACTTCACTCTATCGTTTGATCGATTACATTTCAAGTAGAATGTAAAAGTAAGAAAGAGAGCTCGAAAAAATATATTTTCTTTCTACTTTCTAAGACTGGCTTCTGTTATCACATATTCAGCGCCAACGCTTGAGGGAAGATAAATAGATCAATTTATTTTCCTTCTAAGAAATTTGCCGATTCGATAAGCGGTGAAGTCGAGGTCGTTGGATATGATCCCTGTAAAAGAAGAGAATCTATCCCGATCTGTCCTTATCCGATCTCGATGTAAAACTCGATTCTAACTTGACTGCGCTTTGATGCTGCACCCGTAGAAGATGCACGTGTACAAGAAAACGCTGCAGGCGATGATCTACCCGATTTCCTCAACCACACCGCACAAGTTCGTCACCTGGACGGCGACATCGCCGACCTACTGCTACGAATGCGAAGGTCTACTTTGGGGTATCGCCAGGCAGGGAGTTCGATGTACCGAGTGCGGTGTCAAGTGCCACGAGAAGTGCAAAGACCTGCTCAACGCAGACTGCTTGCAAAGTGAGTACCGATTCTTTTCTCATTAACATTTCAATTTACATTACATTTATATAATAGGACCCCCTGTTGTGCTTCCCATTACGAATCTAAAATTGAAATATTAAAATGTTACAAATATCTTTTAAACGTTGAAATATGATAAACATATAATTTTATAGCTTACATATTAAATTTAAAACATCGCATACAATATTTTAGTGAATTTTAATTGAACTGACCTTAAAACCAATTTGAAAATCTTATTTAATCCGCTCCAATTACCTAATGAGCAACTCAGAACTTAATATTTAGGATAAGTACATACACATAAGGAAGATAAAAAGATTTCCAAGATTTTTTTCACGTTTCTGATTACTTTGACATATTTTTCACATGACAACAGACTGTACTTGTTTAATGTAGTATTGTAAGGAAATTAAACAGGAAATTTAGTAAGAGTCCAGCGAGAGCTAGAGAAAAGTGCAAAATACTGTTAACTCGAGTTAAACGCGAGACGATAAAATAAACTGCATATTGCGCGAATTTTCGCGCTCTCACGTCGCGTTTCGCGAAATCTGCATACGAAACAAAACCACCACGTCGCGCACGGTGACATTAAACCTGCGCCGTTGAAGAACGCGATAAAATTACGCCGCGCGTTTCTCGAAACTTAATTACCAGAAGCGCAAGGCGGAGATGTAATTAACGTGCGAGACTCGGGGTCTAATGTCTGTCGTGTTAAGCGCTCGAACGCGGAAAACATAAAGAGAACGAAACGGAAAAGAATCCTGTACGTTTTCGGCTTTTCGTGCTAACGAGATGTTCGGAATAGTCGTGGGAATTTGCATTACATTTATTTCGAATCAACTTAGTTTGCTTATAAATTGGTGTAGAATTCGTGTGAAAATCCCTGCCGCGAATGTATGGATGAAATTCAGTACGTGTATGCTGGAATCGAGTGATATTGCTGTCATTTTATTTTCTGAATAAGAGTATACGTGTTTAATTTTAAAAAATCGCAAGCACATTTTATTTTCTTGACTTATCAATTGAAGAAGTTAATTCCGTTTGCTATCTATTTTTTGTGTTGAATTATTGGAATATTCTAGAGATACAAAAATTATTAATAACATTAAGAATGTTGTATATAAAAATTTGAAATCGACTCTTCCTTAATCTGTTAGAGAATTATCCGACTATTTTGAAAATAGAAAACGGGAACTGGAAAAGTGCAGGGCTTCAACGTGATTGAGGTATTATAAATCGCATAAAAAATGGCAGAGGGTAATCCAACGTTAAAAATGATCGATCATTCATTAATGCGACGTTCCGTTCAGAATAGTTGAAAGATAAAATCGATGAACGCTCTCGCGTGTCGATGAAATTGCTTCTAACTCTTATCGAGTTCGAAAAGCTCGAATCGTAGTTTCACTCTTTAGAAAATTAGACACCGTAGTACGTCCAATTGAATCCTGGAGTATGAAGAGTCGTTCTTCAATCAAGCAAACTGAATTAATCTTTAGTTTGAATTTGAAATCAAACCAACCACACAATTTCTTTCTTGATTGCCGATTAAAGTATAAAATCACACGTGGTGATGAATTTTGTTAAAACACAAATATAAGATTGAAATGCAGAACAACGATTAGGATTAATTAAATGTTACGCCAGTGTCAAGAAACTTTGGTAATTAATCAATCGTTACACGTTATTCATTTCGCGGGCGATTCAGTTTTGTCGGTCTGTCGTTTATTATAATTAAACCGTAGGAACGGTTAAAACACAGTTTCTCCCTTGACTCACTCCATTCAGAAATCGCGCAACGAGCATGACCTGGTTCGCAGAGCACGTTTCCGAACACCAAAGACAACGAATGTAACCGACAGTATACCATCCAATCCGGGACTATTTTCCGGCTTCAATTGGAACGTTTTCGAACCAAGTTCGCCGAGAAAATAGCGGTTGGAACTCATGTAATCCATTGCAGTTAGCGAAATATGTATACGATGATTCCCTTAGATTTCGATCTCACCTTCTCAAAGATTGGATTTCGCGTGAGGAATCAAACTCGTTCCTTTAATCAGTAGCGGGATTTTGATTAAACCCGCCAATGTTACCCTAGAACGAAATTAACCTCGGTCTAATGAGAAAACTGTCAAATCAAATTCGGTTCAATATCACTTTTCATCTTTCATTTTTAATTATTAAACTACATATACAGTGCATACAAAAATTATTAGTACATTCATACTTCGTTTTTTTAATATTTTTGTACTAAGTAATTAAAATGCTGAGTTTCTTCACAATTCGGCAGAATAAAAACTTAACACTGACGTCACGCTCAATTGCTTTCGGTAAAACAAAAACATATTCACGCGTTCCACATACTTTGGATAGTGTAGGAAATACTTGCATATACTTTGGTCCGTCCGTCTCTCCCGTCGGTCGATCTCTCCCGGAACTACGGAATTTCACTGGTATTTACCGTATTTGAACGGTTTACCATGAACAGAACGAAACAGAAAACTGTTAAACATTTTATTGGTAGCTAATTAACATTCTCAAAATACTACTCCGCAAACGTTAATTTAATTGTACAGTTTCAATTTCAATTGTCATTTACATCCATCATTGCCATCGACTTCGCGCACCTTCGAGATTATTCTCGAACATGTATATATTTAAATATGGGTTAGCAACGTTGAATTTTTGTTCGAACTCAAGTACATTAAATTACTTTACTAAATGATATACTTTTACATTATGCGTATGACAAATGTTATCTATAAGATTTATTTACCAATGCAGTAAAATATATTGTTTCATTACTTCTTTAGTCTTTTTGAAAAATACTGAATATTATCGTTTGCGCCAATATCCATCAATACAGTCTACGAATTCACCACCCACACGATCAACATTAATTTCTTTTTTACTCGTACCTCATCCATCACGAAACACTGTAAATTCCCGAAGCTGTTATTTATTTTTAAACTTGTTCAATACTAGCCGGAGCGTATCTATTTTCCAGTAGTTGAAATCAATTTTTCACCTTAGTTTCGTAGTCAAAGCCTCTCGCCCTTGAACGATCAGTACACGTAATTTCCGGCCTAGTTTAGACGCGGTGACACGACGTGACGTTTCGCATAAAGCGGCCTGTGGCGCAACGCTTGCACCGGAAAATTAAAGCTCCTCGATTTTTCCGGCTAAACGAAAGACTCGCAACGAAACGCGACGCAACGTTTTCTTGTGTTCCAACGCGAAAATCGTACGTACGAAAACAGTTCGCGAAGAGTGCATCCTTCGAAACCGAAGACTATTCAAAGTAAACTCCGGAAAAAAGAAGTTTGGGGTAAAGTTGCATGGGGAAATGGACCACTAATTTAGTTGGAATTGACGGAAAGAAAAACATCAAATAATTCTCTTTTGCAACGTGAAATATCTCTAATTTTTTATTTTTAATTTATTTCTATTTATATACTGTTTGATGTACACGTTTATGCAACCTATTTTATAAAATATTTTATTATTTAAAAGAACATTAATGCACTCTGGGATCAATATACAAAATCGATTTATCTTGCGTTAAAATAATTTTTTACTAAGACAAGTACATGCTAGCACGTAGCTGATGATTGAATCAGGTTAGCCTAATATACAAGCTTCAAGGAAATCCCTTATGATAGGCTATAATATTGAAAATAATTGCATAGCCACATATTATTTTTATTTTAACAAATCACTCTTCAAACGAAGAATGTTTATATCAAATATTAAACTGTTACGATTAATTATTTTAGTAATTTCATTCTAAGAAAATATTAAATTGTCCACAGCAGTAGTTACAGCACAGAATCCTCATTGGTTGTATTTCTCACTTTCAGGGGCGGCTGAGAAAAGCTCGAAACATGGCGCCGAGGATAAAGCGATCAGCATCATCACGGCCATGAAGGAGAGGATGAAGCAGAGGGAACTGGAAAAACCAGAGATCTTCGAGCTGATCCGGTGAGTGCTTCTTAGCATATCTCCTTTTTCCTTCTTTTTCCCTACTTCTTTTGTCGCAGCATAGTCGACTTGATGGAAAACTTTGTGAATCGGCGGCAAGCTAAAACGTTTCAGGACAGATCGACCGCGATTCGTCTGGCTGGATCAGCGATCCTCCGTCGCCATTGCTTATCAATTTATTTAAACTGAATCCAAATTGTGTTATTTATAAACCTGATAAATGTTCGGATAAGAAAATGAAATGATCGGTATGTGCCCTCGATTTCGAATAATCTGAATCGACGTTTAATCCAATAATGAATTCTTTTGAACAAACGAGATGGTGTATAAGTACGAAAGATCAAATATTTTATATTATTGGTTTTATACGTACATATATAGGGTGTCCACAATGAAATGATGTAATCCAATTACTCCGTAACCATAGAAGACAGAGTAACTTGGTGGACAATTATACTAAATGATTCCAGGGGGGCATATTTTGACGTGAACAAATTTTCAGCGTGGAGACCTCGTAAATACGGAAGCATAAATGGTCCCCAATTCAGCTCTCACAGTATACATTCGGAGACCTGATGACGCCCATTTGACGGAACACAAACGTGCCATTTCCCCAAAACTAGATCTGCAAATTTTTGCAACGCACGATCTAGTATGTACGGTTATTATCGAACGCGTCGATATGTAACGCAGTGCAAAATGGGCGTCGCCCTCCACAAAAGTTTTGAAATTTTGCATGAGAAGACTAGCGAGGACAGCCAGTTATCACAAAACCGCAAATTGGCGTGCACAAATAGCGAGCATTCAGAATGTTCATGCTACAGTGAAATAGGTGAATTTGGGTTAACCGGCCATCGTACAATAAAGAAATTCGAGAGCCGGCGGTTCTGTCTACGATTTCATACACCGAGCTGCGTGGTTTTTAAAAATAACGTTTCGTTGCACATCATTTTATATTATACTACAATAGCTATCTTTAGTAAAATAACAGTCAACTTACAATTAGCAAACAAAATCAACACAAATCAAGACATACTTAAAACTTTATTAACTTTCTGTCTGAAAATCAGTAAAATTTCAGAAAAAGTCATACAAAATTTTAGAAAACAAAATGGACTAAATATGAATAATTATTATAAGATGTCAAACAAATCATTTTAACCCTGTTTGGTAGATCTAATGTTAAATTATAGCAAGCAATTAATAAAGTGTAGCACTGAGTAACCGTTGTGCGCAACACGTTATCGATCTGTCTTTTTTCATTAATAACTTTGTTAATAACGAAAAAGTGGAACAGGAACTTCTCACGCAAAACTTCAACTTGTTTCACGCCCTCAGAGGAAAGTCGTTCATTCTGAGACACCCTCTATGCTGACATGAAATTGAGGCAGCAACATGTTTGCTCGGAGGCCAGTGAATAGATGAATGGTTCCCTGAGATGAAAGCTCTCTTCGGTACATTTTCGGGCTTCAAAGATTAACAAGATAATGCAAATCCGTTATAAGGATGCAAGATGATCGATCAGTATTAAGCTTCCAATTATAAAGCTTTACTTATAGCGAGCGTCGATCATGGATCACGATGCATCAGAATATGTGAAATTTGATCAATATCATATATACGCAGATTTGATGTACGTACAAAGAGAAAATGATCGATAACCGTAAATAACAGTTTGCGGAAAAGTCTGTTTAGAAATTAAAATATAATTGAATTGCATTGCCGGAAATGCAAAGACTTCATTTTTTAAAATGCAATAGAAAATATGTTAATGGAACAAATTTAACAAAAAGAGACCTACAATGTTTTTTTAGCCAATAAACATCAGTCTTTGTACATTTTTACAATTATTTTATTCTGTTATATTATATACCATCATTATTTATGAAGCAATTTTTTATTAATAATCCTAATAAAATAATGCTGTAAATATATTTTATAATACTATTACATTTAAAAAAACAAGAAAGTTGGAAGTGACAAGAAGATCAATTTTCTTATACCTGATAACGAGACATAACTGATATCAATCATCTATCTAAAATCATTACTAAACGCCAGATACTTTCTGTTAACCGATTAGTTTGAAAAGCATTTTTGAACGATGGGTTCAGAAAGTTATTAAAACTTGTTACGAAGAGGATTCAGAAATATATCAATCTAAATGCAATTCGGAAGGCACCATAAATAATAAATATCTGCACTATTTACCTGAATTCGTGTATAGTCAATAAACTTCTCATGCAACCAAGAGGATTAAAGTCCAGAATAAAGTTACAGGATTAAAGTGAGCCGAAGTTTCACTAAAAATTCAATTTCCGAACGTGCGAATTATTTAATCAGAATGTTCACGAGTTAAAAATCTCTTCCTGTTAATACTTTCGATGTGGAATCCTCTTAATACTTCTTTATTACTTATTAACCCACTTATTAATGAACATTTTCGCTGGAAAAAGAACTTCGTATACGGTCGTGCTCAGACAAGACTAACATTGATTTTGCTTTAATCATTTCGTTCAAGGGTAGATTTTATAAAGGCAATCGATATATGCCACGCCCATTCTCCATTTTCCTGATTGCGTTGCATGTATCGCGAACAGTATTAATAATTAATTACAGAGACTATTAAAAAAGTAACAACAGATCATCCAATGCATTTTCACGTTCATTTAATACAAATGAATCAAATTACCAAATTTATTCAATTTATAATATCCATTTTACTATTCATTTTGATAGAACATTGAAACGTACAATCAATTGCGAAATTTGAGTTAAATAATTCTGCACCTATTCGAATTCGGCTTAAGATATTTACATTTTCATGTACCACCATTATAAAAATTTCAATTGCTCGCTGTTTAAGTATTCGTTTGAAATATTATCGCATCACGGTTCTAATCGCAAAAAGTTGTTTCCGCCTGGTCCCATTCTAGATCCTGTTTCCGTGTCATGCAGGAACTTGTTTCGTGAATACAGATTAGTTTCTTTTGCCACGCATTTGTATTCATTCGAAAAGAAGAAGCTGTGACATCCACGATCCGACAATGAAATGTACATTTTATCCGCATAAATATGCGCTTCCCGTCTTATAAGGGAGAGCGCGAAGAATTTCATGAGAAATGAGTTGCACAGTGTTTGTGAGAGACTACCTGCTCTGAATTTAAGTTTTTCATCAACTACGTGATGTGTGTTACCATCGTAATTTTTTTTCTCCTCTTGTTAGCAAAAATGAATAAAGTATTTCGATTAGCATATTGTATTGAAATTATTTAATGAATTGAACATCTTCATAATTTAACAAATCAATTAAGGAATGTAGTGAAATAATAAAATCATTACTAAACGCCAGATACTTTCTGTTAACCGATTAGTTTGAAAAGCATTTTTGAACGATGGGTTCAGAAAGTTATTAAAACTTGTTACGAAGAGGATTCAGAAATATATCAATCTAAATGCAATTCGGAAGGCACCATAAATAATAAATATCTGCACTATTTACTTGAATTCGTGTATAGTCAATAAACTTCTCATGCAACCAAGAGGATTAAAGTCCAGAATAAAGTTACAGGATTAAAGTGAGCCGAAGTTTCACTAAAAATTCAATTTCCGAACGTGCGAATTATTTAATCAGAATGTTCACGAGTTAAAAATCTCTTCCTGTTAATACTTTCGATGTGGAATCCTCTTAATACTTCTTTATTACTTATTAACCCACTTATTAATGAACATTTTCGCTGGAAAAAGAACTTCGTATACGGTCGTGCTCAGACAAGACTAACATTGATTTTGCTTTAATCATTTCGTTCAAGGGTAGATTTTATAAAGGCAATCGATATATGCCACGCCCATTCTCCATTTTCCTGATTGCGTTGCATGTATCGCGAACAGTATTAATAATTAATTACAGAGACTATTAAAAAAGTAACAACAGATCATCCAATGCATTTTCACGTTCATTTAATACAAATGAATCAAATTACCAAATTTATTCAATTTATAATATCCATTTTACTATTCATTTTGATAGAACATTGAAACGTACAATCAATTGCGAAATTTGAGTTAAATAATTCTGCACCTATTCGAATTCGGCTTAAGATATTTACATTTTCATGTACCACCATTATAAAAATTTCAATTGCTCGCTGTTTAAGTATTCGTTTGAAATATTATCGCATCACGGTTCTAATCGCAAAAAGTTGTTTCCGCCTGGTCCCATTCTAGATCCTGTTTCCGTGTCATGCAGGAACTTGTTTCGTGAATACAGATTAGTTTCTTTTGCCACGCATTTGTATTCATTCGAAAAGAAGAAGCTGTGACATCCACGATCCGACAATGAAATGTACATTTTATCCGCATAAATATGCGCTTCCCGTCTTATAAGGGAGAGCGCGAAGAATTTCATGAGAAATGAGTTGCACAGTGTTTGTGAGAGACTACCTGCTCTGAATTTAAGTTTTTCATCAACTACGTGATGTGTGTTACCATCGTAATTTTTTTTCTCCTCTTGTTAGCAAAAATGAATAAAGTATTTCGATTAGCATATTGTATTGAAATTATTTAATGAATTGAACATCTTCATAATTTAACAAATCAATTAAGGAATGTAGTGAAATAAAATCGTTACTAGTTTATTTACAACCAACGCTTTTAATAATAATATAAATACACTCACTTTCTTTTATACATTTTATCCTATTGCACGGCCATAAGATTCAAAATTGAAATTTACATCCTCTGTAATAAAAAAAGAGCTAGAATGGTACACAGCAGACATAAAAAAAAAATTGAAACACGTTGCACGTACGTTCTAATTATCTGACTGAGAGAAACGTGAAAGCGGCGCCAGCTTGTGATTAATGGGGAAGAATAACAGTAAAAATTCCATCCGCAGAAAAGTGGTCTCGCATGTTTTCACACTTACCTCTGGATCGCGGTTATTATTCGAGCAAAGCGGAGGACATAGATAAAATATTTACCTTAGATTCCACCGAGTCTCTCATATGCTTTAAAACAGACGTGATAAAAGACCATGTGCCTTATTACTCTATGTGAATTATCTAAAATCTGCTAACCGGTAGCAAAATGTTTGATACAATGCAAATAGATAGAAAATTAGGAGAAAGGAATTTAAAGAATGTAAATGTCTAAACTATATGTCAAATACATGCATAAATCGTGATTCCAAGTCAAGCAGTATGTGAAATACTAGCTATTATCGATTTCAACGTAACTGGCTTCGCATAGACCGGTTATTACCAGTTATTAAGGTAATCAAACTTGGTACATGGGTCCGAATTGCAATTTCCGGTTGTCACAAGGGTCACAAAAATATCGATAGTGCATTTTTCTTGTTTCTTCAAACTCTCGCCAACAGATAATTGTCGCAGCTTGTTGATAAATCCGAAGTATGCAATATAATCACAAAAGAAAACATTAATAGTAGTTTAGCAATTTTAACAAGATATTACTGATTAAACCGCTGCTTGCTAATTCGAATTCCATCTTCGAGGCACGATCCTCGCGAATTAATTAATCGATACATACTACTATCCTGACTAGAATTAGAACATTCCGTTTAGCCTTGTGTTAAATTGAAACTGATTTACATTTGTGGAAAACTGAAAGAACATGTATTTAGTAAAAAATTACACATACTTTTGCATATTAAAGGACATATAGTGAGATTGATGAAAATAATTTGACACGTATGAACATATTTATATTTCAGGTAAAGCTAATATCTAACAAGATTTTCTTTTATGCAATTCCGAATAAATATATATATATATAAATATAAATCTTAAATAAATAAATAACTTTTATAAATTATTATCTCCACATTAAATTCCAGATGGTCAAGGTAAAGAAATTTGAAATACTACAATACCTTATAACTAATACTATAACTCACTATTAAAAATGGTTCCTGAAGCCGTATAAATCGAAATCGAGGGCAACACCGACACCGACACAAAGCATCTGTTCAGCGATCTCTTTGAGCTCAAAAAAAGGATGCAAAGCAATGGCGACCGTCAGCCAGGATAAAAAGATGCAAGCGCAAAACGTGTGAAATAAATCGAAAATCCTCGGTACTTTGCGCATAGCCGGGTCTCGTCTTCTCTGAGGGGCTGAAAAAAAATAAAAAAGTTGGTCACCGATTGTATGTCCCAGCGATAGCTAGCAAAAGTAAATAGATAACACTTTTTAATAATGAATAAAACGGAAAACAGGGTTTAATATTCAAAATAATAAAATAATTAGAATAATAATTCGATTACATTATTTGTATCAATTATATAAAATATTTCAACATTGTATAAATTTCAAAAATCTTATGAAACTTTTCTTCGAATAGTGGAAAACATTTGAAAATTAGTTGAATTGACAGTCAAGCTTGACTAAGAAGGGAGTTTAGTGAATATGACGGTTTTGGTACGATGCCATCGGGCAATCAACGACCTCGTTAACGGACTGATCGATGACCCAAGAGCATTAATTACAAGGGTCCTGCGTCCATGAAAATATTCGACAACGAACTGGACTTTGATTTATGATTTATCCAATAAACAGTTATTTGTCATCTAGAAAGCGGCTTTCGTGATAAGTCGTACTTTTGATCGTTCTTTAGTATTATCAATTTATAAGTTACGTGTTAATCTGCTTACTTTACGCGTGCAAAAGAATTTCGTTGGGACATACTCATCTCGTTATGAAACTTCGTGTATAACGTGGCGTGATCAGGTCGTAAAACAATTTGCAATGACATGAAGAAGTCCACAGTTAATTAACTATTAAAAAAAAAAAAGATTTTAGTCGTGTCACAAACGTTCTTGTTACCAGATTTGAATATAAAATTTTCTACTCATTATTTGCAACATTCTTGTTGAAAAATACTTTGACGGAAATTGGATTTCGCGGTAACAGACGGAAAACGCCTTTAGGGGTTGACGTTGTTCGTATCTTCGTATACAAAACAAAGAAGATAGGCGTAACGGGAAGATTCATTTAAGATTAGAGAAAGGAAACCCGCGATGAGTTTTAGCGGCGTGGGGGTTAAGGGGGAATGTTGAAGAAAAAGTGGGTAACCCATTAGCGATCCTTACCGCGGCGGCTGTGGGCTATCCCACGATGCAATTACGACCGAGAGAACACGCGTTATACACGTTGCACGCGATGCGACGCTCGTAATGGAATGAGAGAACGTAATACCGAAAACGAACAAAAGGGGTTAAAGAAGCGTGTTGCCCGGCGAAGGATGAAAAAGATAAAAAAAAAATAAAAGAAAAAAAACAAGAGTGGCCGCGTATACGTACTCGCATTGTGTAAGAGAAAAAGAGAGGAACAGGTAGGACGAGATCTAGGCCGTTGGCACCAGCTTATGTGAAAGAAAGTATCGTCGGAGTTTAGGTCAGTCTTTGGAATCGACGAGAAGGGACATGCGAATCACATGGGAGCGGTGAAGCAGTCGGTTCTGGATGGTACCAGCAAGTGGTCCGCGAAGATCGCCATTACAGGTTTGTGGCCAGCTCTCCGTTGTGCCATCCGCCGGCCATCCGTATTATGCACCCCTAAATACGACGAAAACGATGATAACGTGCGGCGCTCGATTACATTGTGTCTTATCTTCCTTTTATACATATACGATACATATTATGTGTACCACGTATGTGCCTCAATGTGTTGTTATTATTATTACTATTATCTGTTACATCATGCGCTTCATTTCATGTTTCTCACACAGTCGTTACATTATATATCCTTTATACATAGCTACACTTGCCTATACCAAAATGCCTATTTACATATATGTTTCAGTGTATTGTTATCATTATCATTATTCTTTACTCATTGCTCCATTACACTTTTTATATGCGATATAAACCATACGTGTAATTTTTATATCTTCAGGGACACAGAGTGTCCCAGGATGCATGACTTTCCTATAAGGGTGAAATTCCGATCCGAAAACTCTCCTCTTCCTCTATTCGAATATCAGAGAATTTTCGATTCAAAATTTCACCCTCTTTCATGGCTGCAGAGGAAAGATATGTATTCTGGTACATCCTATGTTATGTATGTCATTTAAAATTATTATTACACATTTAATTTCATGTTTCATCTTCCATCTCTTTACCCGCATCTTCGCAGCACATACGCTAACATCACGTGATCATACATATGTATACATTTTTTGATCCTCCAGTCTGCACTATTTAATTTTGTTCGCTCGCATTCAGTACTTTGATATCTCGTTAATTTAATTTTCTCATTTCGTCTGAATCTGTCGCTCTGCCGGCTGCTGCTGTGTTGTACTGACTGTCATATACTTATCTATACATATATATTCTTTGACTGTGATATAGCGATTTGGCTGTGCCGTTTGTCGGAATGCACCCGTTCATCGCATTTCTTCTCCACGCGGAGCGGAAGCTGTACTAGAAAAGAGCTTTTCAAGAAATTTTTGTTGATAATTTTCTCCGGACCCGGAGAACTCATCAATATGCAATTTTACTTACTTGTTCTTTCGTTCGGATAGATGTAGGAGAAAATTGTTATGCATTCAAAACTATTATGCACACGAAGAAAGTATTCCGGTGTACGTAGATTACGTTGTTGTCTGTCCATACAATTGAACATTTCTATGATTGTTCGTACGAAAAATGAGCAAACAGCGCGTTGTAGAGGTAACTGTGTAAAATGGAGATGCACTATGTGAATAGAATAGACATGTTTAATATCTTAAATAAGATTTAATATAAGTGTTATTTAATGAAAGTAGCATTATGTAGGTAGGTAAATGTTGATGAAAGATTAGTTTGTAGAGATGTCGCGTATTAGCCGCGGATATAAACATCAAACACTAACAATGACCAATCTACATACATTTGAAGATGAATTGAGAAAATAGCTGTAGCTTAAAATGGCATTAAATGATATTAATTATCGATTATAATCGCAAAATTTATTCATTTCCACAGAATTCAAATATTTTACTAAAAAAGAATTCAAATAACGATATTAATAAGAAAGTATAAATATGAAATGCAAGGAAAACTATCAAGGTTCAAGCTGTTTGATAAATATTGTCAATTAAAACAGACCAATGATCCAAATATCAAAATCAAACCTCGTAAGTAGTATAAGTCAACCATAGATCGAACAGTCTCTTTATTTTTTCTATCAAGCATTATGCTTTACAATCGGGTGGCATATTTTACACAAAAAGCACACGTGTACTTAGTGACGAACGGGTGCATACCTTGTACGCATCAACATCTCTCGAAATGAACACGTAAGCCCATAAATCTTGTCAATTACTCTTGCACCATCATCGAACATCACGTACACGTGGATTCGCGTTATGTAATTGTTGGACACATACCTCACAACCATAATTTACATCCGTCTCTGGACAGAACAGATATCTTTTAGCTATCGAATATCAATCACTACCATTCGAAAAAGAAACAATACTTCGATCCGTCTAGTACATTCATTCTGTCTTCACTCTTCGTCTTTATCTTCAGACAATAAAATGTACAGTTTCTTAAATATCCTTTTTATGTTTTTATAGAATAAATAACAGAATCTTCGAAAGAGAGCGAGTGATTGAAGTTCATAGTTAAGCTTGTGGGGGCCTGTTTTTGAACCATCAGAAATATTTTCATCGCAGTTCTTAAACAATATTAATATACAAATTCCCAATGTGTTATGAATATATTATACTCTGTCATACTGTATTGATGTGATCAGAGTTGGAAACAAATTGAATCGGAACTTGAAATGATCCACCAAGATGGATTCATTGTCCGACTCGAATCGCTCGAATCACTTCTAACCCTGGCGAAGCACGTGTGGGTGGACACGCGTGGGTCAGTATCGCGGTTGTCTATCACTAGAGATACCTGTCGGTCCCCTCCGCTTCGGAGGAATTCAATCGAAAGTCCATTAAGGTCAAACAGCAACTTGTTGTGGCTCGGCTGTGTACCGAACGCTCATTGTCAAAGCTAAGCCGGCTCTGTAGATCTCGGATTCGTAAACCAAACGCCTAACCAGCACATCCCTCCACCTCTCCATACTATAGCGGATAGTGGGACGTATGTCGTGAAAGCTCGTGGTAATCTATAGCCCACCGGTTTGTTACTCGCGCGATGGCCAAAATTACAGTCTCAGTCCACTACGTTTCGAGTAAAAATGCCAATATTGTATCCATAGTCACTAACTCTCAGAAGATGTTGTATTAGATGAATTTTAAATTATTTCTTCAAAGATTACGAAGAAAAGTAGAGTTAAATTTGATGTGTACAATATTTCATGAATGTCGACAAGTTTTTATTCGATATTACGTAAAAATAAGTGAAAATGTATTAAATAGATTTAAAATATAAGTGAAAACAATTTTAGTCAAAATTCGCGAGAATTCTATTGCTGACATGCATACTATGTATAAAGAGAAAAGTAAAATTTAAAAGTTCCGAATGAATTTGCGGGACTTGTAATTGTGTAACGTCTCTGAAGAGTGGAAAAAATCATCTCTAACTAAGAACGAGTTCGCCATTTGCGCAATTTCTGATTTTCACGCGAAGTGAGTTTAAAATAAATTGAACTAAAGTTCATTGAAAATGTACTATATACATATAGTACATATATATATTATAAGTACATAGTTTAAAATATATCTATATGATAATTTCATTCAACAGAATTAAATATATCGTATCACTATCTGCATAATTCATGAAGGGATTCGCTTAAACTTCACAATCATAGAAATAAAAATTTTTTCTCCCTTATCTAAAGTTCACGTGATTGCCCCTGAAAATAGTAACTGGTGGAATAAACTCTGCGAGATAATCAATCTTGTTTGAAGCAATAGGTCAACTAGTGGTAGCAAAAACTAACTATGAAGTAAGAGAATTATTTTCTTTGTATTGTAAATCTGTTAAAGGATATAGAATTTACGGAAACTTCTTTTGTTATAAAAATGACGTCTCGATATTTTAATATGGTTTCTCTCATACTCGTACAGAAATAACAACAGAATTATTGCCTACTGTTGAAAAACTTGCTGCAGTACGGATTAGCTTTATAAAAATCCATCCACTAATATACATCTTCCTCTCACGAATTTCCGTTTCAATAAAGAGTTTCGTGAATTTCACGAACGAAACTTTCGAAAACGACTAAAATATACTTGGCGGTAAGCCACAGTCGCAACGCAACAAGTTTTCTTATGCCCCTCTGACAAGCAGAGGATTTGAATAAACTCGACGTTAATTCCATTCCGAGAAAAAGATTAACAGGTGGTTCTATGATTTTCAAGAGTTAATAAATAACTATAGATCATTGCGATCGTGCATTGAATTCTATTAGATCAAACTCAAAATTGCATATTACATTCAAATATCCAATTGGAATCTATGATTTTCAAGAGTTAATAAATAACTATAGATCATTGCGATCGTGCATTGAATTCTATTAGATCAAACTCGAAATTGCATATTACATTCAAATATCCAATTGGAAAGTTGTATAAAAACTCAGTTGTTCAACATTTAGGGATTGAAGTCAGGAATTCAAAAAATTCATCTTCTCTTTTTATTATTTATTGTATGATTTTTACACTAACAATAAGCATCATGCTAACTTTTCACAGTTTCCATACCATCACATTTTCATACTTGTCATTCGATATCCATTTGATTAATCTTCATATACAATTATAAACTTATTCGCAATCACATCAGTCAAAATCAAAAAGCTTTTTAGGTCTGAAAAATCTAAAATTGATGATACTTCTTTTAAAAACGATCTTCCGTCAAAGAGATCTGTAACATCTTCAGTTTATATATATATGTATAAGAGATATTTGACATACAATCTTTTTCTATATGGAATAACCAATTTTACTAAAAAAGTGAATCGCCTCATCAATTTTGGATTAGGCCACGTTATACCACGCAGACATCCGTTTAGTTATAATTACCTATACAGCGACTGCTCATACTGCTTACGCAGCTCCTTCAGTGAAAGAAAGCACGTAACCGTTTAGAGATTTGAAACTTTAGAAAAATTACAGAGAAAGAGAAAGAGAGAGAGAGTGAGAGAGAGAGAGAGAGAGAGAGAGAGAGAGAAGCGAGCAATTGCCTTCGTAACGAAGTATCCGAAAGTATGGAAAACGCTTGAAGCTTTCACGACAATTGCTAACTAAGAATCGTTTAGTCGATATAGTCCTTGAAATAGGAATCAGGACGTTTTTCGCCTGGCTCCTTTTATCCACTTTGTATCGCTTGTTTGGGCTGTATCGCCGCCGCTGCTGGATGACTATAATGATTTCACGAAATTCGACAAGCTCCATCTCGAGACAGTCCTTCATACCGCGTCCTTCGGTAGCCTCTTTAAGGTATGCGTTGACCACCGACCAGGAGTTCAAGGAACTTGATGACGATGATGATACTCGACGAACGTCGAAACGATTAAAAATTGGTACGAGAGGTTGTCGAAGGACGATCCATGGTTGACACGGACCATTGTCTTCTTTTCAGCACAACGTTTACAGTCGACCCGGACACGCACATAGACAGCCTCGAGCAGGCCGAACAGCAAGTCCTTGAGGGTACCAGCAAGTGGTCCTGCAAGATCGCCATCACAGGTGACACGATACTCTGATACCTCTTAGACAATTAAAGAAAAACGACCGTTTACTAACACATCCACTGAAACAGACCGTGCCGTGAACGGCACGGTAATCCAATGATATTATTATATTATTGGCGTGTAAAATGTGACACACAAGACACATGCGCTTTTTGATACACGGGAATTAAACGGTGTTGGATGCTGGCCGTAAGCTGAGATCTAGGAGTTGAATAATTGACATGGCTGTTTGGTAATTCTTTTTTCAATTCCTACTTCTACACGTTTCTTTACTATTTTTCTATGAATATCTAATTTTTTAAATTACCAAACATATTTATTTTATCCATATTTCTCCTTAATGAAAATTTTTCATTTTATATTTAAGTCTGTATAAACAATATCTTACAGAAGATTCGATTTTATTATATATTTTCAAGATATAGAACAGTTTCCGCAACTTTAACAGTATCATAGGAAATTCATTAATCTTCTTGTTATGAATTATCAACTACGAAATAATAATAGTGAAAATTTCTTAATTCCGTATATCGTATCTTTTATACAAAATTTTGTCTCAAGATTTTTTTTAATTTATCCTTCTGCTATACTTTTTATAAACGATTACCAAACTCCAACGTCAAAATGACGCCGTAAGCTCTCAGTCAGCGATCATTCAGCACATTAACTTTTTCAATAAGGCACAAACTCACATTTCGGAGTTAATCCAATGTCTTTCTGAGCACGATTTTCGATCGGATCAGACGCAAAACTGTTTTTCAACGTGAAGTAATCATACAGCTGCATTGTTATAGAGTTGAGGCTCTGCATTTGGGAGGGAGTTCGTGAAACTAACCGTCCGGGTCGAAGCAATTTGTAGCCACAAGAAGTTTCACGATCGATGAGACATCCGCATCGATATTGGTAGCATAATTCCGCGCCGATAACTTTAGACACTTCGCGATCGTTTTCCCCCCTGTCTCTCTGTTACGAACTTGTTCCTATTTTATGAACTAATCGTGACGTAAATAGATACAATAGAACAGGAATTTTCAGAAGTATAATAAAACAAGAATTGTGCTTTAAGCTTTTCTAGAGAAATGACATAAAGTATTAAATTGATTGACAGAAACTAAAGGAAATATATGAAATTCCAACGTTGAAAAAATACAGAAATTGAAGTTTCCGCTTTCAACATATTCGACAAAGACTGAAAAACCACCACAATCGATATAGATAACGGTGTGATCTGCGTTTGAACGTTTCAATTATTTTTTCATAGGTATAAAAGAGATGCGGAAACAACAAATTGGTTTTATTTTTTTGAAAGTTTCAACGAACCTACAGAAGTCAGTTTTTATGAAATATAAAAACCAGAAACAATGGCACTCAAAGCGTCGAATTGTCAATAGCGGTGATCTCAGAAAAGGAAAATAAGCAGCATAATAATTCTTCAACATAAAATAATAACAATAAATTTCGATCAGATTCGGTAAGAAATGAATTTCTGTTCGAAATATTTTATAAAAGTATGAAAGGAAAAATAATGTAATATTTATCTACATCGGTATACAGAAAATATTATAGTGAAAAGAAAAATGAAGTCATTACGGTGCATAAAGAACAGAGGTTGTTAGAGAAACATAACAATTATGAAATTTTGTAGTATGATCTGGAGAGACAGTACAATTATTTCCTTTATGTTTTAAGAAAAGAAACATAAAAGGGGAAAAAATGCATTGTAAAATTGAACGTCAATGTTAATATCATTATACCAGTTTAATGAGTCATGGGAAAGTCCTTTGTACATAGGAGACAAGCGAGAGCAAAGAAAGCAATCGTACATCAAATAGAGATGGTCATAAAAGAGGTACGGAAATATCGAACAGCAATAACGTTGAGAAGTATTTAAAAAAATCCTGAAATGAGAAGAAATTTATTATGAAATTGTCGAGACTCATCTCAAGTTTCATGGGTGCTAAAACCGTAATGACGTTCGCATATTAAATAAATGTTAAGCGTCAAAACAAAACTTCTGAAAATTACAATTTCACAAAAGCAGGTTCTTCTAATCATAGTATAAATCAATAAGCAGCAGCCATCCAATATCATCGGACCATCGAATATCAACCAGTCTCAGCTATTATATTACGGAGCAACGCCTTGCTATTTAAGGTTTCTATCCTAACTGTTCAATAGAACGAAAATGGAACACAGTAGTAGGGAAACAATCAAAGGTAGCAAACAAGGAAGAAAGGGTTGCGCAAAATTCAAGAACGAAGTGAGAGAGAGTGAGAGGGTTAGAAAAGAGAGAGCGGGTGTGGTTGGAATGCCTGAGTTCGCTACGAAACGATCGATAGTTCAATGTACAGTGAAGTACAGCGGGTGCGAGGCACACGTGTGGTCCTCGCGGAGCCGATTCACCTGTGTACGTTTCATCCCTATCTCCAGCTACTCGTGCTTCAACGACCGATCCCCTGGAAATGCATTTCTCCCTTCAATCTCGCCCAAAACTCATACCTATTTAATTGAACGTTTGTCATTTGAGTTGACATAAAACAATCTAGTAGTTGACATAAGATAGTAATAAGAAAGTATTGAATGTATTCCTTATATCATCAAGTTTTAGCTATCTCGAATTACACTAATAATTTTATTTATGAACAATCAGTACCTATAAATTACAAAAATTAGGGCTAACCATGTTATATTGACATTTGAAAATATTAATCCAATAATCTAAATTTTCTCATTCATCAAATTGATTTTGGACCAAGTCTTCCGAGCGCGTTGGTTTGAAAGCCATTAAATGCAACTGTTATACCACAAGGAGGAACATGTACGAAGATATATAGTAGACGCGTCCATTATCTGTTCCGCACTGGAGGATTTCGATGTTAGCTTTTGTTCGTGAGATTGACGATCTCGCAATGCGAATAAAGCATTTCCTGTAACAAAACAGCCATGCTCGCTGGAATCCCGGAAGATTTCAACCTACACCTCGAACGACACGCGCGACAGGAGCTAAAGTAACAATGGAATAGCAATGGAACGGAATATTCCGAAAAAATTCGATTTTCTCGCGCATTCTTTCCGCGAGAAGCTGGGGGAAGTCTTATATGTAGTATGTACGTTGATGTATCTGCTAAACGCGCAAATTGACGAAGATCCGCGTCAAACTTCTTGCACAACACGTCGTGTAGCAGAATTGCTTCTGATCCAACTTACCACCGAACCTACTGACAAACGAGAACAATAACTGGAACTCAATTTTTATTCGATGTCGTACGAAAAATTTAATATTTAGGTGTCTAAAATATGTGTACTACAGACAGCCTAACTTGTCGTGATGTTAAACGTTAGACCTCATACTTACGCACTGTTTCACCGAAAAATCAAATCTCCAAAGAACACGGAAATGAAGAAACTCAGAAGAGAGAAGAAAAAAATTGTCGAAGAAGGGAAAGAAACCAAAGTGTATAGAAAAATTAGGAAAGATAAGCAAGGTATCTCAGGCCATGAAAGGTGACCAGAGAGGGTCTGGACGACACGAAAAACCCGACTGTTGAAAACTCCTAAGTCTGACCACTAAGTGTATCGAGCGAAAAGTAGTAGAATAATAAAGTCATAAAATAGGAAGTTGAGAAGAAGTAAAGAAGAGAAAATAGAAGGTAACGTGGCAAAAACGAGTCATCACAGCGTTTCTAAAGAATCAGAGGATCTTAAAATAAAGGATTTTGCAAAAATCTTAATATAATTTGATTTAAAGAGATGTTGTTACGAGGGAGAACCGTGCCAAGGGCCCGACGGTTGACCGAGTCAGACGACTCAGTCGGGTGTAGTTAGGGAAAGACAAAGACGTACAGGCGGCCCTAATCTAACACTGTGTGTTAGCCTCGGTAGCTGTAGGACATGGACGACTAGGAAGGGTCAGTCCCCTTTAGCCACTTATGTTTAAAGGTTGTCGGATTGGCAGGTCAACTTCGTTGATACGTCTCGAGCGGCTAAGACGTATCGCTTGCGAGATACTCCGGTTATCAGCTAATGTGGAATCAGGGTTTAAATGAATATTGAAATGAATTTAAGAGTTTCAACTCACAGTCTTATATTCTCTAAGGTACTCGATACAATATTCTTTATAGTTGGTCAACTCTTACTCGAAGAGAATTCCTACTCCGATTTACGCAGCGAAGTCGCGGGGAAAATCTAAGTTCAAACTCACACGAGTATTCTCAGCGGGGTGAGACAGCGTTTCCACGTTCTGAGACTCTCAGTTCAGACTAATCCGAAGGGCTGTGGTCTAGCGCCCTTTTATACCTAAATGAGGCCCTTTGCCGGGGTGGGGATGACCATATTTGGGCATTTTCTAGAAGGGTCCACGCTAGACTCGCCCCGTGAGTCACCCACGCAAGGGATGCGTACGTGACCGGCAGCGAAAGATCTGGAAACGCGCAGGGCCGTATACATATACAGGGCTGTATACGTAACAGAGACAATCAAAGATTGACAGATCCATTCTTGAACGCAATTAAGAATTCTTATTAATTAAAAATGTGTGCTAAAAGGGGAAATAGAACGGAAAATTAACTTAGAACTGACTGTAGATAACACTTGACTAAATGACATAGTCGACAACATGTTTCTAATGCGGGAATCGTGTTTGTATTCTCACGATTGATGTATCTTGGAATACGTATTGATAGGACCACCAGTAGGACTACCTATAGGT